CCCCAAAACCCCAAAACCCCAAAACCCCAAAACCCCAAAACCCCAAAACCCCAAACTCTACTTTAAAAATGAAATATTTTAAATAAATCAATGGATGAGTTTCATCAGGTGTTCAATGGTAAGGTTTTCCTTCTTTCCTAAAATTTCAACTACAATATCGCTTTAAACATTCTTCTATAGATGAAGAGAAATCACCTTCCATCAACGAAGATCCAGGCCAAGGTCTTGAGTACTCTGACCTTATGCGAAACAGCTGTTTTCCGTGGAAAATGCAGAGGAACGATATTGACGATTGAGTTAATCTTGAGATAAATATTGGCAAACACAAAGAAAGTGCCCAAAGTGATGACTTTAGTAGAAGAGAGAAAAGTAAATTGTTGTTTAAAATATCTTTAGAAGAAATAAAAGGAAATAAATTATAAAAACAATTCATCGATTTACTAATAATTTGGCAAGAAACCAACAAGTTAACATCATTCTTACCACCAATAATGCACCAAACACAGGGCTTGGAGGTGAAGAAGGGAATCTATCTGGTCAAGAGCAAATTCCTGATGGAAATGATAGCTGTTCTACAAATGACTCAGTATTTGACCAGGAAGGAGACCAAAGGTAAAATTTCTTCTAAATTATAGTCAGCATAACATAAATATTTCTGATACAATGAGTCCCTTTAAGAACCAAGATGTAAGCTCTACATTTCATTTTTAGATGAGCGCTAATTTTTCAAAGCCTCCGTTACCAAGAGAGGAAAGGAAACACCTAGCTGATGACCTTGATATGCCTCCTGAAGAATATGAGCAATACAAGCGCGACATACTCAAAGATTTAGAGAAAGAGAAACGGAATAATAATTACCAAGAGATGAACGATATGATCCTTAATGGCATCGGAAATAACTCCAAGGTATACTTTACACATAATACTTAGATCCCAGGACTGGACTTTTCCAGAGACTTAGAGCGAGAGGTACCCTGTAAAAATAATACCTCCCGAGAAGAAAACGAAGCTATAGATATCAGCCATGTCTCTGACGTTAACAAGAACATGGAGGATGTCAAAGAGCTTAAACGGTATACTCTAACAGTAACTTTTAGACTCCTCTACCTGGCTAAAATGAAGTTTAGGAAAGAATATTCTGATCCTAATGGTAACAAACAGAAAAATTTAAAAATAAGAAAGAAAATAAAGAACCCCAAGAGATCTAAAGGAGGCTATCTGAAGAAAAGCTCTAGAGGGAATATGCCTAAAAGCCGCAAAAAGAGAGTCTTTCCAGGAGACAACCTCTTTTCTTATGAATATCCAAGCGACAGAGCCAAGGCATCAACAGGGCAAAGTAAGAGAAATAAGAGGTCAAGAGACCAATTGGGTATGAAGCGTTCAATTTTCCCTGAGAATAACTATCCAAGCCTTGAGAATGATAAAAGGAGAACCTTCTTTGGAGATATGGGAAGTAATGTTAAAATAAACCCTCTAAACAGAGAAGGATACAAAACTGATAATTTTAATCCAAATGTAAATCTTGTCAAGAGCTCATCTACAAAGTTTTATTCTGATTATCAACATGCCCCAAACTACAATATTGATCATGTAAGATTTCTTCAAATACCCAATAGACATTTCCCAAAAGAGTGAAGACAAGGCAACAGACTAGGCACAATGATAGAGACAAGAACAGGAAGTTAGTCTGGTGGAATCCTCCAGCTAAGACCAGTACCAATACTTTTCTTCCAATCGACTCGAACAAGGCAACTATGAGTATTGAGGGCAACAAGAAGATAATCAACCCAAAGAGTTTACAATCGATCAAAGGCCGTCGTAAAAGATTAGGGACTGCCCAAGTTGGCCAGAGAAGCAACAATCCTATCTATTTAAAGTAAATAACTTGCATAACTTCACAGAGGAATGAACATTGAGAAGAACAAGCACCACTTCTTTAGTGAGTTCCAGAAAGTCAGTGCCAGTGTTGTCAGAAAGCCCAGCGTGACAGATTCAAGGATGGACAAGATAAACTTCTTGCAGAAGGTGCGCCAGCCATACCAGAACAGAGTATTTTAGAAGAGATAGAGCCATTTAGTCTAATTTATGGGATTAAAGATTATTTTTATTCAAAATATTTCTCTTTCAGCCACTTTTATTCTAAGAGGGGTTTTGGGGTTTTGGGGTTTTGGGGTTTTGGGG